TTCCTTGTTAGTAGACCATTTACATTAGTATGGGAATACTTAAACACAAAAACTTAACCTATACATCTCTGGCCCATTTCCCTATTTTTCTTACAGCAAAGTAGAAATGTAACCACCTGCTGTCACTAATATCTCTATCATCAGGCCTTTGTCCCCACCCACCATGTTATCTGAATAGCTGTACTCTCAAGGCCTCATGGTTCTCATATGCCAAATCCAAAGGTCATTTCCCATCTTACCCAACCTCTCAGTTGACACCTTTAGGCACTTCCTTGTCTTCTGAAATGTTTTTTTTTCACTTAGCCTTTAAGATTCCTTTCTCCTAGTGCTCTTCTTACCTTTGGCTTCTCCTAAGTTTCCTTTATCTGTGGTGTCCTTCTCTGCATTGTGCAACATAAGTAGTCTTTGGATCTCTTGTGCAATGTCCTAGGTCAGTGATTTTTCAAACTGTAGGCCACAATTGTCACTGGGTTAAAAAATCAATTGAGTTGGAAGCAAAAAATTAAAGAAATAAGTACAAACGAAAGGGAATGGGGAATTCTGTAAGGCAAGGGTAATATACATACATGTGGCCATGGTATAAAATGTATTTTGCATCCTGAGAGGAGACTGAAGGTATGACAGTTGCTGCGCTGTGATCTCATTCAATCCTGTGGCTCTAATACAATTAACACAATTTATACTCGTACATTTCTTCAAATTCCAGACGGGAAAGTCTGTAAAAATTGGCAGCCAACTTTACATCAACATTTATAAATCCAAGTAGCATGTCAAATTTAATATGTCTAAAATCAAATTACCATCCTGCCTCAAATTCCTCACTCCCAAATTGCACATAGCTCTTCTCCATCTCAGTATGGCAATTCCATTCTTTTGATTGTTACATAGGGGTTAGGCAGGGAGTTAGGAAACGCAGGCTGAGAACAATGGCATGGATACTGAAAAAGACCAAGTAATGTTAACAGAATGACCTATGATATACAGCTGTGTCCTGTTGGCCCTCAGCCTGCAGAGTAGAAAGTCCTAGCAGCCATGATGCCTGATCAGTGACCTCTGGGCTAATTAACATATAATCAGATTGCAGTTAGACAAAATCTTCACTGACCAAGGCAACATGACAGTCCCAGTCCTACAAACTAGGGTCAAAAACTCCCATACCTGAGGTGTGGAGAAGCTAATGATGCATAACCCAATTTCCAGGAAAACCCCTCTCATTCCCAAGAAATGATGGCCCCCTAGTCCACAGATTCAAATAAAAAAATCAGTATTTTAGGGCCCTGGGGACAGTCATTTTCAAGCCTGTCAGCTCTCCTATCTTAATCTTGTACTTTCACTTTAATAAACTTGCTCCCATAAAGTCTGCTGTGTCCACTCTTGAATTCTTTCTCTGATGAGAACAAGAACCTTCTACCCCAGACCTGGTAGTCCAGTCCCAGTGACAGTTATACAGGCCATAAGTCTTTGAGCCAAAACCTTCAGTTTGTTCTTTCACAATCACAGCTAAACTGCAAATCTTACGTGAAGCAAAACTGTCATCCTCATTGCATAGTTAGTCCTAAAGAACAAACAAAAGGATAAGTTATTAATAAAGAGGAAAAGGGATTTAGATTTTGTTGTAGTTTGGATAAGTCTCTTCCAAAGGTCCATGTGTTGAAGGCTTGGTCCCAAGTGGCACTATTGGGAGGTAGTGGAACCTCTAAGAGGTACAGCTTTGTGGGAGGCTTTTCAGGTCATTGGAGCCCTTGAAGGGGCATCATGCCCTTGAAGGGGATTGTGGGGTTCCAGCCCCTTGCTCGTTTTCCTACCTTCTCTCTCTTGCTCATGATGTAAGTGGTTTTGCTCTTGCCACATGCTCTCACCATGGTGAACTTCCTTTCCAGGGGCCCAGAGTTCCTCCCTTTTTATTGATCTTGGACTGGACCCTCCAGAACCATGAGTCAAAACAAACCTTTTCTCCTTATAAGTTAATTATCTCAAGTATTTTGTTTCAGTGATGGAAAGCTGACTAGTAAAGACTTAGAATCAGGAAACTTGAAGTCAAGGCTAGCTCTACAACATTACAGTTTTGCAACACTTTAGTTGGTTATTATTATCTTTTCCTTTGTTTGCAAATTCCTCATTATTACTTCATTTACCACTTTTAGTGAGAATACTAGTATAGACACTGTGTTAGATGAATGCTATTATAGAGTTTGCAGTACATTTTGACATTCACAAGAACATTTCTTCTTGTTTTTTTGGAGACAGCATCTCACTATGTACCTCAGGTTGACCTTGAACTCACAATCCTCTTGCTTCAGGATTCCAGGGTGTTGGAATTATAGGCGTGCATGGTCACACCCAGTTGTAACAACTCAAATGAAAAACTAGTACATGGTTTATACTATATTTAACCATTTGGTGGGGATTCAAGTGTGACTGGTTCTCAGGGTATCATTGGTCCTTGGATCAAGGCTTCTTTCTTGAGTATCAGAGCATATCCCACAAACTTTACCAGAGGATAGGTATTTCCCTAAAGGCAGAAGCTATGTAAGGGCAGAGTAGCAGGAGCTCCCATTAGCACAAGCAGGGAGGATTTGGTATTAATCTGCTATCATAAGGCCAGTAGTCCTCTTGGACTGAGTACCTGGTCATCCATGAGCAGTTCTTTACATGCAGCTTTACATTCTAAGTACAAAAGCCGCTTTCCATTTGTGGTTTCTTTCCACCTGTAGGCCAGGTGGCAAGAATCCAGACCCCAGACTTGGACACACTGAAGTTGCCAGTACCCTTCCCCTCAGGACTCTGAACTGCTGTATTACTACCCTTACCCAAAGGCAAGGTTAACACTTATTGAGCACTGTGTGTGTTGGGCCCTTTAAAGTGTTGTGCAGCATCACTTCCTTTCATCTCATAACCTCTCTATTCAGTAGCTATGATCTTTTATTAGTAGTAGTTTATTTTTTGATACAGGATGGCCTAGAACTCATAATGTAGCCCAGGATGAGCTTGAACTTTCACTCTCCCTGCCTCAGTATCTCAAGGGCTAGGATTACTGGAGTGTGCCAGCTCATCTTTCTCTTAGATGAAGACAGTCTCAGGAAGGTTTAACAAACTGCCTAGGTAGTAATGGCTGAGTCAGGACTCATGCTAGCATTGTCTGCAAAGTAATGCTTCTCAGTAATTTGGCAAAACTCACAGATGCTTCCAGAACGATGAAGGTTCTGCCACTTCTCCAGTCGGAGGGCAGGATTCCACACACACTATCACCCAACCAATCTTTTTGTTAACCAGGAATGTTTTAGGCATATGGTATACCAATGGAAGATATTGGTCCTGCCTCCATGGAATACTTACTGCCAGAGGCAATAGGAAGAGTCTATCAGGTCGTGGTAAATTTTTTTTGGTAGAACTGAGGTTTGAACTCAGGGCTTCATACTTGTAAAGCATGTGCTCTAACGCTTGAGCCACACCTTCAGTTCGTGATAACTAACTATTCTTGATAACCTATTTTCCATAGCAAAAGACCCCTATGGAGACAATTCATCATTATATTTTCTACTGTTTGTAATGCTACATTCTAGGTATGTCACAGAAATGAAGACGTTTTGACTTTGCTGTATTGATCTGGAGGAGGTTTTGACTCTCACAATTTGGTCTTTCACTTAGACAATCAAGTACGCAAAGTGGTCAGAACTGTAGAGAGGAATTTGATAAGCTATGCTAACAATAGATCACTTCTATACAACAGAATTGTGAAATGTTTGTGAGGATTGCTTACGAGTCACTCATGAATTTACAAAAGTAACAGACTGTCTTGTGTTAGATTTTAATACGATTTCTCTGAACATTATAGGAGAAATAAAATTGGCAGTGGCTTAAATTTTACTTTTATAAAGTCTAGTTTAGGAAAAGTGGAGTTGGTAGAAATAGTCACTAACAGTACTGTGGACGTACTTGGTGGGTAGAGTGTTTGTTCATAATCCAGGTCTTGGGTTTAACCCTCAGCAATGCGGGAAAGAAAATCACTAAAAACAAGTTGAAAGAGGTATAATCAGTAAAGCCTGATGTGGACAAAACCCGAATCAAAGTTGAGAGCATAGCTCAAGTATGAGGCTCTGGGTTCCAATGTGGAGTATTGCAAAATGAAAAAAAAAAAAAAAACCCGTTTAGTAGGAGTCAAATATTTTCTGAAGGCATAGTCTCTTCACAAAAAGACTAATGCTCTTGAAAATTCAAAACTTAAAAAAAGTTGAGAATTCTACAAGCCTTCCTTAGGCCCTAGCTGGAAAGGGCAGGCCATTAAATAGGGAGTGACAGCGGAAAAAATCATTTATTTCCCCGCTGCCCCTTCCATTTTCTAGCTTCTGGTAGATATGTTCTTTCCATTTTTTTTCCTCTCTTAGTTACCATAACGACGGTAAGACCTCTCCTTCCAAAATGCTAATACAATCCACAGTCTCTACAGGTCGCAACCGGGCGGGGTTTTCCTGCTCTCCGGAGGGGCGAGCGCTCGCCGCCTTAGCACCGTCGCGCCCTGGTCGCCGGGTCAACGCCTCCGCCCCCACCCCTCAGCGGCCACGTGACGTACGCGTCACGTGACGGACGCCGGCGGAGGCGTGTAAACAGGCGCCGCCTGCTTGAGGTGCGGCCCTGCTGCGTCCGCGTCTCGGCCATGCGCCAGGCGGCCCTCGGGGGCTGCGCCGCGAGCTTGGCGCCCACCTGAGGTGACTCCTGTGGCCTCGGGACCCACGTCCTCCACGCGGCGGTCGCGGACTTGGCGGACCAAGCCCCGGGCTGGGAAGGGGGTGTGGCTGCCGGGCGCGCCGCCCGCGACAGGTGGGCCGGGCGGGACGGGGCGGGGAGGCCGCGGAGGCCGGGTCGGCGACCCCGCGGACGGCAGCACAGCCCGGCCGTGGGCTCTGCCTACAGCCCGGGTACAGTCTGCTACGTGAAGTGTTGTTCCTGACGGCCGTGAGGCCGGGGACCCCGCAGCCCTCTGCGCTGGCCTCAGTTTCCACATCCGTGAAATGGAAGTGGGGATTAGTGCTCGGGGAGGACCCCGCACGACCGAGATGTGATGTCCCGAGAGCCCTGCACACACTGAAGCCGTCCCGGGGAAAGCGTTGGTGCGTTATCTTGCTTTTCATTGGCTAACTTTCTGCTGTCTTTAAATCTGTTTATCTGAAACGCATTTGGCTTCTCCTTCATCCGGGTGAAGTTTGCGATAGAAAACTTGCTAGAAAGTCACAATGGCTTGGGGTTTCAATGAAACGGAGCCTCTTTCTGAAGAAACCTTATTTGAAAGCCCAGTTTGTAAAAAAGGATGAACATAAAACGTTTTGTTTTCTTTCCTCACTGCTCTTAAGGCCCCACTTCCCACAGGTTGAAAAGCTTCATCATGGAGTTGAGATGTTCTGTGTATCTTTACATTTCATGGGCTCTGAAGATGGATGCTTTGCATGTGTGGAGGTTTCAGTGATTTTCCTGTTGATATTGCTTGATTGCATGTTATGCAATTAGAGACAGACATTCGGAAATGGTGGGGCCTTTCTCTTTGCATTTCTTCTGGCATTGCAGTCCCAGGGGGAGTCAGTATATGTCATAATAAGACCTCACACGGTTACTGGTTTTGCTGCTTAGGCACCGAATGGGAGTGAAAAACTTATTTGAAGCCAACCGTACGGGTTAGGACATATCCTATAAAGACATGAAAACCGAAAGAAAAAGTGACCCGAAGCTGTGAGAGCCCTGGAATAATGTGGGCGTGCCCTTTTGCTATATCCTCCCGAGCCAGGAGGGTTTTACTAGCTTTTGAGGATGAATTGAGGAGAAAAGAACGTCCTCTTTTATGCAGTGATTGGACATAAATCTAGAATGTGAGGCGGTGCTGTAAGGCAAAAGCAGTTACCACGATTTACATAGTTCCCTAACTTGTTGATAAGAGGTTTACTGAAACTTGAAATTGGTGTTAAAAGGGGAAGAACATTCCCTTTTACAGTTTGTCCACGTGGTGCTTCTGTGAGGTGAGCAAGAATTGGAAGTCTAATCTGAGTGGGAACCAGATTAGATTTTTCTTTTTGAAGAAAACACATCCTTGACCTTTGGTTTAAGCTTTCTTTGGCTCTCTGTTTCTGCTTCAAAGTGAGGAACTTGGTTACTGCTCTTTTGGCTGCAACTAAGATGCCCAGTTAAATGTGAATTTCAGATGAACAGGAAATATTACATGGGACATATTTAACCAAAGGTTTATGTGTCATTTATCTGAAAGCCAGGGCGTTGTGGTACATGTCTGTAATTCCAACTACTGGGAAGGCGGAGGCAGGAGGATTGTGGGTTTGTGGCCAGCTGAGGAATTTAATTGACCCTTTCCCCAAAACAAAATAAAAATAAAAGGCTTAAGTCGTTGGGCGCTTCCTAATGTGTGCAAAAGCAAGGCCCTGGGTTCAAACCTTGGTACCAAGGTATGTGTACGTGTGTTTGTGTGTTGGGGGGGGGGCGGGTGAGTGGAGAAGAAAACCGGGGTTGGCTGTGTTTAATGTTTTTGGTTAAATATGGCTGCCCTAACTCCAACATTTTTGTCTTATTTAATTTAGCACCAGGAAGAAATTATCTCAAGGCACAGATGGGAATGAATTGATTCTCTTGTCAAGAATCCCTATTTGGGGCTGGGGCTTAGTAGCAGAGAGCATGCCTAGCAATTGTGAGGCTCTGTGTTCAACTCCAGTATCAAAAGCACATAAACAACAATGATGAAGAAGCCTCATTTGTAGTGGTGTTTAGTTCTTCAGGTACAGCAAACAATCTGTCATTTGTGGTCTCTTCCTCTCTTTCTTCCCTATGCAGCTGTTCCATTTCTTCCTTTTTCTTTCTTTCTTTTTTTTTTTTTCTGTGCTGGGAGTCAAAACCCAGGGTCTCACACAACAAACTAGGCAAGCTCTTTGCCACTGAACCACATCTTTATTCCTCCACTTCTTCCATATTTTGTTTCCATAACAAAATGTTTAGCTTTATACTTTTGGTGGTATGTAGTTTAAATGAAATTAGCAAATAAGAAATTGCGCTGAAGTTTCTGAAAATGACCTAAACTTGAGTCTTGAAATGGCAAATACTATTTTTTCTGTCAAAACAAAAAAATACTATTTTTTCTGACTTTACCTGTTTTGTGTGTTGAGTTCAAGACATTGTATAAAGCGGCATAATGTTCTGCTGATAAGTTTGTTTGTTTTTTTTTTGAGACAAGATTCCTGTACATAGCCCAGACTGGCCTTGAATTGGACCAGATCCAATTCCTTTACACAACTAATGCTGAAATGTCTGAATTTTCTAATTCATTCACCAGTCAGCAGCAACAACAAAAACTTGAGTGCCTTCTTTGAGCCAAGCAGATGTGACCAGTGTCCTAGTTCTCCAGGTTGGGGTCCCTGTTAGAGGAGTAAAGCAGGTGTAATCCAAGGATAATGTGATGTGGCCTTGAATGATGTAAAAGCTTTGGAAATTGAGGAGGCTCAGTGTCCCACAGGCTGACAGGTGGAATGGCAGAACTCCCTAGAGGAAGTGGTATTTAATCCAGATCATGAGGTAAAGGTGGAGTCAGTTAGATGGATGGACAGAAAAATAGGAAGAAGCAGGTAAGAACAGGGAGTCTTATCTTCTCAGTTCTGCAAAGCACGGGATTTGTGGGTTCAAAATAGTTCATCGAAGGTGGAGGCAGGAGGACTGTAAGTTCCAGCCCAGCCTGGTTGAAGGTGTAGGTGAGAACCTGTCTCAAAAACAAAAGCAAAAAAGGCTGGGGGCATGGCTCAGGTGGTAAAGTGTTTGCCTGGCATGTTCTGGGCCCCCAGTTTACTCCCCAGTATTTGGGGAAAAAGTTGGCAGTATAGTTGGATTTGTTGTGATTCTCTTGTCTCCCTTATGCATATTGGGATCTAGCTGTATTTGAGATCTTTTTGTATTTGTGAGACCTTCAGTTGTGAGACTCCTTGAAAAAAGTGTTTATGAAATATGGCACACACACACAGAAATATGTATTCAAAGAACAAAATATTGCCAATATTGTTAAAGCCTCCTGTATGCCCTTCCTGTCGGGAGTAACCACAGTACTGATTTCTGTTTGTTATTTATCGCTTTTCTTGATAATCTTACTTTGTTTGTTGCTTTTGTGTATATTCCCTACCTCCCTCCTCTTTTCTCCCTCCCTTCCCCTTCCCTTACCTAAATGTTCCTTTTTTCCCCTCATTTCCCCTCCCTTTTCTTCCCTTTTTTTGCTGGAAATTGAACCCAAAGCCTCTTTTGCATGCTAAGCAGGTGCTCTTCCGCCAAGCTACATGCTTTTGCCTATTTTTTTCATCAATGGCATCATGCCATATGGGTTTTTTCTGTGATTCTTTTCGCAACCTAATTGAAAATTAGGTTACTAAGTCTCACCATATTTTCTCCCTAGTGCAATAATTTCTCTGAGGGTAAATATCTAGAATTGGAGTTGTTGCTTGCAGGGGGTGCATGTTGATATTTGTGTGTCTCTGGGGATTGAACCCAAGAACTTGTGCATGCCAGGTGGTGCTCCACTGCTGGGCTACATCTCCAGCCCTCTTTTTTGATACAGGGTCTCTCTGTGTACTCAGGCTGGCCTCAGACTTGTAATCCTCTTGCCTCAGCCTCAGAGTTCTGGGATTACAGGCATATACTACCATGCCTGGTGCACATTGGTAATTTTACTAAATATTACCGAATTGCTTCCCTATGTAGTTGGATTGTTCAGTTATCCTATCAACAATGTATGAAGGTTCCTATTGTTTTCCTGTTTACATGCTTCTCAGTGTTCAATATGAAAACATTCATTTGTCTAATAATGATCCACAATCTCGAGAATATAAAACTCTTAACAGCTTAACAGCATACCAAAGAATACTCAACTTAAAAATAGCCAATGGATTTGAATAGCTATTTCTTCAGACAAGACATAGAAATCACCAATAAGCACACAAAAAATATGCCCTATATTATTTGCCACCAAGGGGAAATGCAAATCAAAATCACAGTGAAGTATCACAGCACACCTACTCGGATGGCTGCCATCAGAAAGGCAGTTAACAGTAAGTGTTGGTGAGGTTGTGGAGAAGTTGAACTCTTCATACATGGTGGGTTGGTGGTAAAGTAGGGCCACTGCTCTCAGAAACAGTCTGCCAGTTTCTCAAATGGCTAAACATTGGGACACCTCATGCTACAGCAGTTCTACTCCTAGATATACCCAAGAGAAATGTAGACATAACCACACCAAAACTTGCATGTAAATGTTCCGGAAGTGTTCATCTTAGCTCAAAAGTAGAAACAACTTAAATGTTTGTCACCTCATGAAGGCTTAATGAAAAGGTGATCTATCCTGCAATAGAAAGAACGGATGTACTGACTGATGCTACAACACACATGAAACTTGAAAACATGCTAAGTGACAAAAGATAGGCCCAAAAGGCTGTGTGTTGTATGATTAAAAATGTTTGGACTTTTCTATATTACTTAAATGATTTTTTTGGTGAACATGTCTTGGCAATTGGAAGTTTTTTTTCCCCTTTTGGTTTGTAGAAGTTTGGCTATCTAGATGTTTTTATCTTTTAAATATTGGGTAGACATTGTAATAGTTATAAAACGTGTACAGAATTTAAATACCATTACACCTTAATCAGCAGGTAGGTATGACCTTGCTTTAGCTTTGATGCTGTTGGTCCCCTCGGGGGTTTCATCACTTGACCTTCATATGCATAGTGTGTTATACTCTGAGCTATATTCCTAGCCTCACTTGCTTTTTTGTTTCACATAGTATGAGACTTCAGACTCATTTACATGTTTTTTTCTAACATCATACTCATTTTTCCCAAGAATCATTGGCATCCAAAAATCTTCCTAGTGCTAATAAAATTTTCCAATTGCATGTAAAGACTGTGTAAGCACTGTGCATTGTAACTTTATGCATGTTAGAAATGTTATGTATTTTCATGGTTCAATACCATAGGCCACTTGTGATTGCTGAATACTTGAAATGCCTCATCCATATCTTTGTGAGTGGCTGCATTATTTGTATATTCCACAGTTTGTTCTTTGTACTCTTCATGACTGTTTTTTTTTTCTATTA